CGGCCAGAAAAGACCGCTTTTCATTTATGCTTTTAAAATAAATTCAGAGTAAATCATTTTGATTTGAAAGAGTTGCGGAATTTGTTCCCAAAACAAAACATGATAAAATAATATTTATCAAAGCATTTCATCAAGAGATGCATTTTCATTATATAATTAAAACTCGGGGTGTCATGTTCCGATACAGACCATTAAGCATAAACAATAAACATTACAAGTCATTCATCAAATATATACATATACAGACTTGTAAACAAAACAACTTGATGGTTCATCCATCTTACGCCCTGGCGCCACTTCCTGTAATACAAATAAAACTGAGTGGGTCAGGCTTGGGAGCCTGGTTAGCATATAGGGTTTTCAACCCACAATAAATAATTAAATTAATTATTATCAACTAACAATAACCCAGTTACCCATTCCCGTTATTCTCACTTTACGTCCCTAAAATAACTAACACAAGGGACCTAATCTAAGAATATTTTCATCGGGGTGACAACACATGCTGCGGGGGTTCCTCAGCAATATAAGTCAAATAAGGCAACCATGAGGGGGATGGAATACAGCGAATGAACACCCAAGTTCATTAACACCTACAGGTTATGAGCCTGCTAGCGTTCCACTGGACTGTCTAGAAAAGTCCGTGGTCGTCATCTAAATTCCGCTAGATGACTGGATCAAAACAACAACGAGGCCTCTCATCTGTTTATTACACACCAACTATCTACCCATGTTCTACCCAACATATTAGTAGATAAAAACATACATTTTTATACATATTTTCAAAACATGTATAGTATGCTTGATCAATACATTTTCCATATAACAGATGAGGCACACACACATAACACGTATTTCATATAGAAATAATCATATCTGTAAGATAGAAGAAAGTGAATATACATTCACACACATAACAACAAAATATACACATAACACGTATCTCGTATAAAATACTTTATAGTTATACGTTAGGAGAAAGTAACAATGCATTCACACGTATAAACGACAATAAACTTAATACACTCAAACCATACTTGTATTATTATTGCGTTTATGAAAGGTAGTATACACTCACTTGATTACAAGATGATCAGACAGCACTACGGCTTGCAAAAGTCGTAATCCTCAGCAAATCTGGAAGATCTCTACGGAAATCGAACCTCTCGCGGGCAGAGCTTCAGCTCGGAAACCGCACTTATCGGGATCTTTAGGATCTCGGGACTCGGGAATATTATCGGGGCTTCGAGGTATTTCTGGCACGCAAAACGATGCAAAACGGGAGAGAGAAGAGAAGAAATTGGCAAAAGACTCGGCTGCCTTCGGATCCTCTTTATAGAGGCTGGAAGCCCGAGTTACGCGGGGCGTAATTCATGTACGCGGGGCGTACGCAACGTCATTGCATGCATATGTGTTCGAGTGACGTCATTGCATGCGTAGCTGAGGCGGTTCACGGGTACGCTGGGCATACCCCAAATTACGCGGGGCGTACGCTATTAAGCAAACTTCAAACTTGCGTAACTTTTGCATACGAGCTGCGTTTTTGACGTTCTTTATATCCACGCGAAGGTGAGACTACGCTCTACAACTTTCGTTTAGACTCCGTCGGCTAATTTTGAATTTATTTTGATTATTTATTTTTAATAGTTCGGGAGAGAAATTTTCGTTATAAATTCATAACTTCTTCGTTTGACGTCCGTTCTCGCCTAACTTTTTATCGCTTTGATACTAACAACGATATCTTCGATTCTCGTTTAGATCACTAAGGCTAAATATCGCTCTAACGTAAATTTCACTTTTTACGTTATTCAGCGGTGCCGGTTCTGTCGCGAAACTTCGACAGGTCATAACTTCCTCGTTATAACTCGGATTTCGGCATTCTTTATATCTTCAGAAACCTTGTTTCAACTACTACAACTTTATATAAAGATATCAAGTTGATTATACACTTAAATTTTGACGCTTATTTTTATTCTTAATTAATCAAACCACATAATTAAACAATTAAGCACAAAACACATAATACTCAAATAATACACTTCTATTATTTCAAAACGGGTTACAAAGGTTAACCTAGACCATTACATTGCTAAAAATGGCAAGCCTGGAAACACAGGCGTTACAACAATTTATGTTAAACTGTTACATAAATTGTTTTTTAGAGGTATATATGTATTTTAATATATAAAAGAATTACTATTTTGTAATATATGCTTTCTTGTTATTATTAGATATCACATTAATTATAATAGTTCAATACATATCAATTGAAGATAAACGGGCAACAAGCTGCGCCGCTAGTCCTTTCTGGATGGCAAAACCAATTCTTTTGAAAACAACATTTGTGGATCTAGAAGATATGGCTAATGTTTTAAAAACTGGTTTGAACCGGCTGGTTAAATCGGTTGGACCGAAAACCGGGGAAAGGAATGGTTCTACTATCACCGGTTTTATGTCTATTTCTGAACCGGATCGAACTGGCCGGTTTTTACAAAAATCCGGTTGAACCGGTTCAATTAAACCGGTTGAATCGGTTAAATAGAATAAAAACACATGGATATGAAACCGTTCGCATAATAAAATTTAGTATTTTTTCACATTTATTAAAAAAATTCTTAATAAAAACGCATGATAAATGTTATATAGTTTTTTGATGTGTTTATATTCATCTAGGACTTTATTTTATTTTTAATGCATGTGAATTGATGTAAAACTTACGGCTATGAGTTATTTTAATATATTTAGATTGATTTACAACTTGTTTTCATGTGTATTTTAATGTTTTCATTTGTGGACATCTAATTATCTATTTGTGTATGTATTTATGTGTAGGAAAATATGAAAAAAGATGAAAATTATAAAAACTGGTTTATTCAGCGGTCGAACCGGAAATCGTTCACCATACCGGTTCAACTAAAAAACCGGTTTTTAAAACATTGGATATGACATTAGAATACATGAACCGTTGGACTCTATTGAGGAGCTCCACCACCTCTGGTGCGAGAAAACCAAATGTATCGAATGCAAAAGGTACAAACACATGTTGATTTTCTATACATGCATTCTCGTGCTTTACTACTTTGTACGCAACGACTTTCAAAGCGGCATGCCCTGCTGTGAATCCCCCGCTCCCCAAACCAACGAGAGGAGAGACCCAGTAAGATCCACGCACACATGCTTCCCTCCTATCTATCAAAAGACCAAAATGTCAGCTGGTCTAAGTGTGGACCTTCCATCATGCGAGTCCGTCAAAAAGTTTACTGGCGCTTCTTTCTTCACAGAAATACCAACACGTAGACAAACATCCAAGAGAACATCCCGAACCACATCATGTCTGTACTTGAAACCAAGGAGCTCTCTACAATGGACTGTGTGTTCCCCAAAGGTATCCAAAACTGGACATATCTCGTCAATTGGGAAAACGGGAATCATGAGGCGGTAACGAATGATAGTTTGACACTACACAGGAGACATATGCTGGCCAAGACCATCAATAGGGATAGTTAGCAGAAAATCCTGAGCATAAGGTGCCCGCAGACACTCAAAGATTGCTTTCTGTCTGACAGTCATGTCGAAGTCGACTTCCATATCTTGGACAATTTTGCTAAAAAGGGCACATGCCAAAGCTTTTTGGGATTTAGGAGGGGAAATGTTCTTATTAGTGAAACTGCTATAGTCAAATCCCGGAATCGTATCACGAAGACGAGTCATAACACATAGGTAATTCGAGTCCATACCAAATACACCACTGTCACGTAAGATGTGGTCTTGTAATGGGCAAGATTGGGCCCTCAAGGCTACAAATACGTAGGAGGAAACCTCGTATGCCGAGTACAAACTCAAACCACTGAAACGAATAGGTAAGGAAGCCAGGCGCCACTGAATGTCTCCAAAGAAGGGGCCTCCACATACCACCATATCCTTGATAGACCTACGCAATCCTTTGTCAAAGAACAAAGCTGCATCTTCTATATATACCGGCTGACATGTCCTTAAACCAAAAAAAAGTTTTGCAATGCCCATACATGATCGGAGCAAAATGAGCTCACTCTGCGGGTCACATAGTTGTGGAAGAAGGCCCATCAAATCAACAACATTGACCTCTCTGTTCATGGTCAGCCCGCTAATAAACCCTGCGTCTCTGCTAACAGCCCCCAAGGAGCTTCACCCCCAAAGAAGATCTCCCTATATCCGTTGAGAGCATAAGATGTACATATAGGCAGTGTTGTAAAACTCACCGATTTTGCCCGAGTACTCGTCCGAGTACTCGTTACTCGGCCCCTTACCGAGGCGAGTTACAAAATCCGAGTACTCCCCGATCCGCCCCTTATTGAAGCGAGCACTGTTGTAAAACTCGGCCAACTCGGTGATTAATATGTATAGTATAATTAATTATTTATTATTTAACACACACATATGTGATTATTACCACATATATATCTTAAATTTTCAACAATTATTCAAGAAGTGGGACCATTGTGTGTTTTTTTAGTTTTTGTTTATTCTAATGTATCTAATTTTGTTATATATTTCATTCAAATTATGGTTTTAACATATGATTTTGACATATATAATTTCCCTAAAATTATTTATATATGAATTACTAAATCCGAGTACTCTCGAGTACTCGCTACTCAGTAGTCGGCCGAGTAGGTACCGAGTAGCGAGTTCTACAACCATGCATATAGGCTAATAAAATGAACCGAATATACATCATATAAAACTTAATTTGAATTGTTTATCCTTAAATTATACATTGAAGATTTGTTTTTATGTTTTAAACTATTTATTTCACTATTTTATATTATAAACTATTTCTAATAAGATCTTACTGTTAACGTTTTGCAAGGGAAAAAAACGATGATATAGGATCCAATCTTTGATAGCCTTGATTAAAAGTATTGACACGAGTGAGAGTACTATGATGCAAACTATTGACACGCGTGTTCGAACATTGAACGGCCTTTTATTATTATATGTCCCCACTACTGACCAACACAATGCCCTCCACCGACGACAGCGACACCTCGCCGGAGAAGTTAAAACTACGCTATCACCGCCGGCAAAAGCCGACGAAAATGTCTTCCAGAGTTCCTCAAACTATCGTCTTATCACGCCGATAAGTCCTCCACCTCTTCCGCGACGTCGTTTCGTTATATCTTATTTCTATCCTTGTCGCTTTCAACCGTTCCCATTATAAATTTTGATTCCAACCTTCGATCAGTCAAACACCAGTGACGCCATGAATAAGCTTATCTACTCATTCATCTTCATCGTCTTCGTTTTCTCCTCGGAAAGGTACTTTCTTTTTCTCTTTCATGCTGTTCAACCTTACAGTGATTGGAATTAAAACCATGTCATTTATTTACTTATATTTGGTCAAAAATAAAAGAGTCTGACATTCGATTTCGTGTTCTTAAATTTAATCAACAGAAATGGGTTTATTTTTGGTCGTATTCTTGAATTCGATTAATTCAAATGTGGAGTTTGCTTTCGGTTCTAGTGATCTAGCTGACATTAATTTTGACTTTCAAGAATCAAGATTAGTTTCAAATACGTGACAACACTAATCTAATGGAAGGGGATCTTTTATTTTTTGTGCGAAAAACAGTGAAAAAACTGAATCTTTTATGCTACTTTAAACGGGTTTGTTCTTGAATTCGATTTAAACACAGCCTTTTTTTCCCCTTCACAAAATGAGAGTTGCTTTTGACTTTCCAGAGTCAAAACAGAGCAATTCATAATATCGAAATGAGTAAGAGTTGATGGTTTATGGATAATTAGTTTATGACAACATTAATCTATAAAACGAGAACTTATGGGGTGTGTGTTTAACGTGCGTTTTGGAAATACGAATTAGATAATCAGTTATCAGTTGTACAAATTTGTTATTTCTTGTTTTTGAAACAACTACTTTATAACTACTTACGTTTCTAATTTGGTATAATTTGAAAGGAATGCTCCTCTTTAAGCATAAGTTGAAGTTCTAAATCTTGCTTTAACTGCAATGTGTCTTTTTCTTTTTGGTTTTGGATTATGCGTTTGTTGTGGTGGATTTTTAATATTAACATGATTTAAGATGCTCGATTGTATAATTATTAGAAATATATATATTTTTTTGTATCAGGGTCTTATCAGAAATCCATGCTAGCATACCACCTAGAGGTTGGAATTCATACGATTCGTTTTGTTGGACAATCTCTGAAGACGAATTTCTTCAAAATGCTCAACTTATTTCACAGAAATTGCATGCTCATGGCTATGAGGTCTTACCAATAATTCCTCCATCCCATAAAGATTGAAACTTTTCCATTTTGGAGTAGTCCCAAGTTATAGTTTCCTATTTTCCCAATTTCGTCATCACAAAAAGATAGAAGATATTGATATGGGCTTCATTAATTTCTCATTTTCAAAAGGGTGTTCTAGATATTTGATAAATAGTCAAACGTCTATATAAAACTATGAGTTTTTGGCCCATAAAAATCACAACTTTTTCCACTTTTGAAAAATTTGAAGTTACAATTAGTCAATTACCAATTTGCCTGTTGTCATCTTCACAAAATGTGGATAATGTTGATGTGTCCTTCCTTCCTTTGTGATCATTAAAGGGTATTTCAGAATTGAGATATTTGATAAAATACTCAAACATGTCTCCAAAACGACATTCTTGAATTTAACAACCATTTCCAAGAATCATCTATTTCCATTGAAAACCATCGATGTTATAACTCTACCTCTTTGTGATTTCTTGATTTTGATAAAGGGTATTTCAGACTTTCAATAAAATAGTCAAATAGCTCTCCAAAAACGATATTCTTGAATTAACATAAGCATTGTTGTTTAAACCCTTTCTCTTTATGATTTCTTGATTTTGTTATAGTATGCGGTTGTGGATTACCTTTGGTATAGAAAGTTAGTCCCCGGTGCTTATGTTGATTCGCTTGGGTTCGATGTGATTGATGAATGGGGGAGGATGAGTCCGGACCCACGTAGGTGGCCTTCATCAAAAGGTGGCAAAGGGTTCAAAGAAGTAGCCAAGAAAGTTCATGACATGGGTTTGAAGTTTGGGTTCCATATTATGAGAGGCATAAGCACACAAGCCGTGAATGCAAACACCCCTATCTTAGACATTACAACGGTATTGCTCCTAAAATTTAAACTCAAAAGATGAAATATTCCATTTGATTTAAAACTCACCATTCAATATCTATGTAGTTTTATCATAAGATTACATTCAAAAGATGAAGTTTCGTTTTATGTTGCTCACTTATTAAGAGAAGGGCAAATTGTGGGGAGTAGCAATGTACGTTGCCTTTACTAATATAGACAGTGTACTTTAATTATTACTCATGTCCCATGAAAATTGCAAGAGCTCCCATTTCGAGGTTTTATAGTTACGGGAAGTTTCCCAAGTTGTTATTACAATGATTCACTAAAGTTTAGGATTAATGATTTTGGTTTACAAGATCCTATTACTTTATCATTTTTGAAGGGCATTTGAGTACTTTGATAAATAGTTGAGCACTTTCCTAAGGCTACCTAATCTAAATGGAGGACTTCAATTTTTCTAAAGCTTATTGGGCCGACAAGATTCTTTGTTTTCTTAATATTGAAGGCTATTTTAGACATTTGACTAACAAAACACTTCCCTAAAAGTGTGTGCTTGATCAAACATTGCAATTTCATGCAATAGTGGGAGCATATTTTAATCGTCTTTCTTTGAAGGACATTACGAGGTTCTTGATTTGGTGATCGTTGAAGGGTATTTTAGACATTTGACTAGTAGCACACTTCCCAAAATGTGTTTATATAAACATTATTTGAATTATGAATAGGGAAAAGCTTACACAGAAGCCGGAAAGGTTTGGCATGCAAAAGATATAGGATTGAAAGAGAGATCTTGTGGTTGGATGAAAAATGGTTTCATGAGTGTGGACACTACATTAGGAGCTGGAAGAGCCTTTTTAAAGTCCCTTTATCATCAATATGCCGAATGGGATGTCGATTTTTGTAAGTTTCTCACTATTCTCTAAATAACACTTCTTCCATCTTCTACACTAGCTCCATAACCTCATTATAGAGAGAAATGATTTTGATGCGAATACATAAGATTCCCTTATTTTGTCATATTATTAAAAGTATGCAAGACATTTTCCCAATGGTCAAACATTTTTAAAGGGACATTATGTTTTAACTCAAATTTGCAATTTCACGTTCTTAACCTTCATAACAAGAAACATGTTCTATTTATGGTTTAAACATAGCAAATACATTTTAAGAATCACCTAATATAACAGTTGCTTGTGTCTTTTAACAGTAAAACACGACTGTGTGTTCGGCGATGATTTTGAGCTAAGTGAGATAACGATTGTTTCAGAGGTACATGAATTTATCTCCTTATTATCCCATTTCTTGTTGTGCAAAAGACGTGAATGCCCTCTTAACAAATAACGATTGCAGATATTGGAGGGGCTTAATCGTCCAATTCTTTATTCACTCTCACCTGGAACAAGTGCGACACCAGTCATGGCTCAGCAAGTTTCAACCCTCGTAAACATGTATAGAGTCACCGGTGATGACTGGGATAATTGGGGAGATGTTGCAGCTCATTTTGATGTTTCAAGGTAATGTGTATACATTGTTGACTTTTTCAGTCAACCATATTATTTTCTGAATTGAAATTTGTTACGAATCAAGTCGTAATTTAACAGCATTTCTATTTTTCTACTACTTGTTATGAAGTCGAACCAAATCCAATTTCGTATCTTACAGAAATTTCAAACAATTTAAACGAAGTTGATTTTCAATTAAATATAACCCAAGTCGTATCATTTTTAATTAATTTGGAAAATTTTCTTGTTTCTTAGAGATTTTGCAGCTGCTAGTATGATAGGAGGTGGAGGTTTGCTCGGAAACTCATGGCCTGATTTGGATATGCTTCCACTCGGATGGCTTACTGACCCTGGTTAATTTTCGTTCTCAAAAGTTTTAATTTTATAAAAAAAAAACGGATCTTTTTCATTTAATTTGTAAAGAGCTAATGAAATACCAAATCGATTAATTAAGTTTTATTTGTAGGAGTCAATGTTGGTCCACACAGGTTGTCGAGACTTACTCTAGACGAGCAAAAAACTCAGGTGGGATTGATTTGGTTCTTTCTCTAAAGATAATCGAATCAAATTTGTTCATTCTTTTTTAATTTTGACTTTGTTTGACTTTTTACAATTTGCAGATGACTTTGTGGTCAATGGCTCGATCGCCTTTAATGTTTGGAGGAGATATGAGAAAGCTTGATGATGAAACTTATCGACTAATCACAAACCCAACACTTTTGGAAATCAACTCTTTTAGCTCAAACAATAAGGAGGCATGTTTTACTATTTCCACTAATTCCTTTACTTAATTACTTGCTTCAAAAAAGGTCAACTTTTTGTTTTTGAAACCCGTATTCGACCTAGAGAACTTCAACTTTTTATCTCCAAATTTTTGTAATTTGTTATCTTTTACTATGTAAAGAAAACAAATCTTGATAATTTGGAAGTTGAAGGGTAAGTAAGTAAGTTGACTCTCGAAAGTCAAACTTGGTCTAACAATTGTATCGTATTGTCTACAGTTTCCTTACATTACCAACACGGCTGAATTTCAATTCTTGAAACAAGGTCCACACTTTCAAACTAGAAGTCTAAAAGACACGGGTGCATCAGAAAAACTCATTTTAGGGCTCTCGAGTTGTCATGATTCCAAAGCCAAAGGGTGGTTTGTGAGAGTAGTTGATGCGGATCTTGAACAAGTTTGTTGGAGATGGCCATCAAGATCCAAAAATTTCGAACCTTTTTGTCTCTACAAATCGGACCCTCTTTTACAATCGTAATTTTCTAAACCTCTTTCATGTGTAGAGCATTTTTTTTTCTGATAAAAAAGATTATTCTTTCAGCAACCCTGAGCTGGCCCATACTGTCTGTCCTAGGACCATCATGTGAGAGGTAAATTAGGGACACTCTGGCTAGCATAAGGGCCCAATAGCCAGAAGGAGCCCAATCTACATTGGAATTAAAACTCCCATATTGCAACTACTGAGACTCGAACCTTTTGGGGAGAAGAGGGTTATTTTAACATAAAGGCCAATAATTTATTGATGCTAACTTTTTTTTTTTTTTTTTTTTTTAGAGATGAAGTTACATATAGAGAAAAATATCGAGGGAAGCTTCACCTACATGCGAGAAATAGGGATGGGTTTTGCTTTGATACTTCATCCAAACGGAAACTTACTTCAAAGGAGCATAAGAGAGCATCTTTTTTTCCTTGTAGGCCGGATGCTAACCAGGTATGAGTTGGAACATTAAACACCTCTTAGGAGGTGAGAGAGCTAATCTTTTATATCGATAAAACGTGATGCATTATTTAATTGTTGATTTTTTGTTTCTAGATGTGGGAGCTAAATAGCAACGGAACACTTGTGAATAGTTATTCGGGTTCATGTGCTTCTATCAAAGAAACAAAAGCCAATGCGGGTCCCGGAGGAGTTCGCTCATGGATTGCAACCGGAAAGAAAGGTAAATGTTTAAATCACTCTTACAAGATTCGGTTTTTGAACTCAAATGATCACTTACATATTGTAGACTAGACACCATGTGGATGACTCATGAACATCTTTAACCTTTAGTTTTGTTAACCTATTCATATCATCAACCCAATATTGTAATGTTTCAGGAGAGGTGTATCTTGCTTATTTCAATTTGAATACTTCAAGAACAATTATTTCCACAACTATATCAAATCTCTCAAAGGCATTTCCTATGATAAATTTCGGCTCGTGTTCATGCAAAGAGGTTTGGAGTGGGAAAGATTACGGGTCACTACAACATTCACTCTCGGCTTCTGTTGAGTCACATGGTGTTGCCCTTTTTATCTTGACTTGTTCTTAGTTTTCATGGGAAACACATAGTCTATTTGTGTTGTATTTGCATCATGGATTCTTGAATTCATAAACAGAAATTCAATGTGGTTCAAGAAGCTTGATTTAGATCCCCAAAGGGGTTTGTTTTGCGGTCCCTCGACATTATTTGCAACCATCTAAAGCAACAAGTGAAGCCATTTAAAAATTTAGTTTATGCTTTTAGAAACCGACATGCTTTAAAATTAAAATCCAATCTGTTATAAAATTATTTAATTTAATTGTTGCACGACAAAACTGCAAAAATGGTCCCTGTGGTTTTTTATTTTTTGTGGTTCTGGTCCAAACGTTTGAAAAGTTGCAAATTTGGTCCTTTTCAATAAGTTTTGTTGTGGTTTTGATTCGTTAAGTTCTTTAAAATGATAATTTTACCCCCAGGGATCATTTTCACAGTTTTGTCTTTTACTATACTATAAGGACCGTTTTTGCATATATTCTATTTTATTTTAATAAAGTATTATATACTAATTCATATTATTTTTAATATATAACATTATATATTAATAAATATTTTTTTATTGGATTATTAATTTATTTTAGTTGATTTAAAAAAAAAAAATTGTTGGAGTAATTTTTTTTATTAAATTATTATATATCAATACATATAGTTTTTAATATATAATATTTATATGATAATAAATATTAAATTATTGGATTATTAATTTTTTTAGTTAATTTTTGTAATTTTTAGTTATTTTTTACTGTATTATTACGTTCAATTTATTATTTTCTTCATATACTAAATGTTGTTTTATTGGATTATTAATTTATTTTAGCTAATTATTTTTTTAAATTTTTTTATCGAATTAATTCTTTTTTATTGAATTATTATATATCAGTACATATAGTTTTTAATATATAATATTTATATCATAATAAATATTATGTTATTGGATTATTACATTTTACGAAACATTGTTTTATTGGATTATTAATTTCTTTTAGTTGACTCTTTTTATAATTTGTTTTTGTTTTAGCAATTCTTTTTTATTAGATTATTATATATCAACAAATATTATTTTTAATATATAATATTTGCATCATAATAAATAATACATTATTGGATATTAATTTTTGTAATTTTTTTTGAATTATTAATTTATTGAAATATTACTTTTATTTATTATAATTTTAATATAATAAATACTATCTTATTGGATTATTGTTTTATTTTGAATGTATACTATTAATTGTTTTTAATTTTATTAGTTCCAGCACAAAATCGCCGAAATACGTAAAAGTATCGATTATCATCATCAAAAATTAGTTGGATCACCTCCAAACACCTTCATCTGAGGTTCATTAGATACTATATCTTATTCCACCTAACGCTGTTGGTAGCCACCTGCGCTAACTTTTTCATAATCCACTGGAATCCTACATATCCCACATAATGCGCAACAAACCCCGATAACATTTATAAGTGGTGGTGGTGGTATTTTCCCAATGGTTTCTCATTATAAGCTAGATGAAATCAAAGTGTTTGGCAACGATCCTAACGATTTCGATGATGAGAGACCATGATTTTGCGTATCCCATGACTTTGTGGTGGAACCAATAAAATTAACAAGAACTACTATTATAATCCGATAAAATAATATTTAGTATATTAAGAAAATAGTAAATTAAAAGTAATAATCCAACAAAAATATTAAAAAAAAAAAGAAATTACAAAAAATAACTAAAAGATAATAATAATCCAATAATATAATATTTATTATGATATAAATATTATATATTAAAAACTATATATATTGATATATAATAATTCAATAAAAAATAATTACTTCGACAATTTTTTTCTAAAAAAAAATTAGTTAAAATAAATTAATAATCCAATAAAACAATATTTAGTATATGAAGAAAATAATAAATTAAAAGAAATAAAAGAAATAATCCAATAAAAATAATTAAAAAAAAATAAAAATATTAACTAAAAGAAATTAATAATCCAATAATATAATATTTATTATTATGATATAAATATTGTATATTAAAAACTATATGTATTGATATATAATAACTCAATAAAAAAAATTACTCTAACAAAAAAAATTAAAATCAATCAACTATAATAAATTAATAATCCAATAAAACAATGTTTGTTAGTATATAATATTATATATTAAAAATAATATTTATTAAAATATAATACTTCAATAAAATAAAAAAGAATGTATGCAAAAATGGTCCTTATGGTATGGTATAAGTCAAAATTGCGAAAATGGTCCCTGAGGGTAAAATTGTCATTTTAAAAAAGTTAACAACCAACCAGTTAAACTTAACGGATGAGGAGCCAAAACCATAATAAAACTTGTTGAAAAGGACCAAATCTGCAACTTTTTAAACATTTGGACCATAACCACATAAAATAAGAAACCACGGAACCATTTTTGCAATTTTGTCTTGTTGCACTTATTATAGAATGCAAAATAAATATAAATACAAAATCCAACGGCTAAGTCTCGTGTTAGACATGATTCTCGTAACATAAATAAGTTCACTGAAGTACATATGACATTTTGAGCACCAACTGCGTTTTGGCCTTTTGGGGATATGATGTAAGCTTTACCCCTTAAGTGAGATTCTATATAAAATAAATAAAATTAAATTAGTGGATTTAAAATTTAACATTTTGTTATTTTAAAATAACATTTTTTAATTAATTTGTTAGATGATAAGTTAGTTACTTAAAAAATTTTAAGATTGAGAATTGTGGATAAAATGACTTATTTGTGAGAAATTTTATTATTTAAGGTTGGATTAAAATATATGAAACTATAAATGGCAACACATAAAAACACAAATCAGTTTTTATGTGTCTGTATAAGTTATACATCTTGACTCAAAATGTAAAACAAAAAAACGAAGTTAATGAAAGAAAGAGGAAATTTAATTTATTATTACTCAATGCCCAATAAATAATTAAGAATTAATTTGGTTAGTTTACTATTTATTATTAATTATTACATTAACAAATACTTAAAAATTAACATGACAATTATTTATTAAGAGTTAATGAATAAATATGTGGAATCAATTATGCTTAAAAGAATTAAATTGATTATTTTGAATAATTAATAGATAATTATAGAGAATAATTACGAAGGAATGAAATTAAAATTTTGGAAAGGATTGGAGTTTCCTCACCTATATAAAATGGAGGATTAGGGCACCAAAGGCACCTCATAAAACCCTAATTCGACATTTGCTTTCCGAATTCCTCTTCCCTCTTGTCCTCTTGATCATTGACTTATAGAAACTCATAATGTTCTTTTGTGGTTGATTTTCTCATACTCCACGACTATGGTCCTTGATCTTCCAAACAACTAGTTAAAGGTAATCTGTAACCTCTCTTTTAGGGTTAGGGTTGCTCTTAATTAAAAAAATCATGATCCAAGGTTTAATCATAAGTGTTCTAGTTTTGGAAGATTTTGTTGTTTTTTTGCTTCATTGATTATTTTGATAAGAACATGAAAGAATACCTTATAAACCAACAATGTTATCAGAGCCATTGATTCTTCTTAATAACATCTAGAATTCAGTTTTTGAAAAACATAATGGGCATGATATTGTACACATTGTTTGGGAAAGCGTTCATATCGATCCATTATAATATGGCATGGAACAAATTCTTTTGTTATTTCAAGATTTGAATCAATTTCCCCTTTATTTTGATTCTATTATGATTTTGGGTTATATGTTTTGGCATGAATTCATACACTTAAAATCATGAAGTGTGTTTATATGTTTATGTCTTTAAAAGGGTTTTTGTTGACATTGTAATATATAAACAATGATTGTTTGTAAATTATTTAATTTTGGTGCTAATAAAATAATGTTATTTAAATAATAATTTTTTTTGTATGGATCCAATAATCCATTACCCATTGGATCTATATATATATATATATATATATATATATATATATATATATATATATATTCAGTTTCATTTGAGACCATGCTAATTTTGTGAGACTGCGAGACCAAATCTAAAAATAAATTTAAAATGCATAATAAAATGAAAAATCTAAAAATTATTTTTTAATTATTATTTTCGGAACTTTAATTACCTAAAATAAATAATAATAATAAAAAGTTGCCATTTTAAAAAAAAAATACGTGAAATATTTTAATATAATATTACATTGTGAATATTCAAATTTGATTTTTAAAATATTAGAATATTATACTAAATTTGTCAGACATGTAGAATATTCTAATATTCTACTAAAATATGGAAAAAAAATATTTTTATTTTTTTAGAAAATATAAATTCTGAAAATAATATTTGAAATTTTTTTTTTGAAAATTTTCAATTATTTTGCATTTTAATTTTTTTTATCCACTAAATGAATGGCTAGGATTGCGTCTCACGGTCACACAAAATTAGACCGTCTCACATGAACCTATATATATATATATATATATATATATATATATATATATATATATATATATATATATGATGTTTTGGGATGATTGGATTAAAATTTGTTTTGAACAAACCTTGCATATCGTTTCCTTATTTGTTTGTAATGTGATTTTATGTTGTAATCGAAATAGATTTTAGATTAGTTAGGAAATTGTATTATATTAGAATTTATAACTATAGACCAAGTTCAACCAAGCAAGGAGTCATGATGAATGGAGATTTGGTGGAGTCCTATTGGTGCATCAAGAGTGGATGTTGGAGTAGGTAGTATCTATATATCATTGTGGTTGTTTGTCTATAAAATAACCATGTTTCTCCATGTGATGGCTCATTGGGGAAACATATCGGCTCAAGAAATGATTCATGCATGTAGTTGAACTACTTTGCATTACCAATATAGGCGATACACTTTACTTTTGCCTATAATAGCAATGCACTTTTTTTTTACATATTTACAAATTTCCGATTACATATTGCTATTATTAGGAAAGAAATTGAAGTACATTGCTCTCATGGGTAAAGAAATGCAAGTATTTGTTATGGGTAAAGAAATGTAAGCACATTGCTAGTTTGGGTGATAAAGAAAATTTTTTGTTAAGTTTTTATATTACATATTTCTATTATTGGTAAAACAATGGAAGTACTTTGCAATCATGAGTAAAATATGCAAGTGCATTGCTATTAGCGGTAAAAAAATAAAGTAC